GCCTCAGTGGGCTGTGGGGCTGGGCAGAGCTGGGCTGGGCCGTTGCACTGTCCTGGGAGTGCCCGGTCCCGCTGCAGGCATTCCGTGACGTGCCGCAGGGTGTCTGTGCCGATGGCGGGGGCGGCCCGGAGCTGTGTAATGAGGTAGTGGGCCTGGGCCGACCAGTGCCACACCACGCTGTCCAGCTGGGCATCCCCTGTGTCCTGGTGGGCATCCCCTGTGTCCTGGTGAGCATCCCAGGTGTCCAGGTGGGTGTGCCTGGTGTCCCGGAGGCTCCGTCGGGCGCTGCCCACGGCGTGGGCTGTGAGCAGCAGGAGGTGCTCCGCCGTGGAGAGCAGGTTGTCCCACGGGGGCAGTTGAGCTCCAGCCTCTGGAGAATCCCGGAGGGCGTTCCTGACCCACTGGACGTCAGCCATGAGCTGACTCGCCTTCTCCTCGAAGGCCTCCTTGCTGCTGTCTCTCTCCTGGAGGGAGAGGCCGGGCAGGGCTGCTCCGACCACCTTGTGGATGAGGTGCAGCTGCTCCGCGTTGACCCTCTCCAGGTGCAGCAGTAACGCCCTGGCCCTGAGGGCCACGTCCCTCTGCAGGAGCTCGAAGCGGATGGACAGGCTGGCTGAAGGCAGCGGGGAGACCAGGAGGGTGTTGGAGACGTCCAGCAGCGCTTCCATGAGTACCTGGATCTCCTGCTGGAGCGCCAGGATTTCCCTGGCACCAGGGTCTCCAGGACAGGACAGGTAAGAGAGCCGGGCAGCCTCCTGCAGCCTCAGGGAATTCTCGGCCACGGCAGCCAGGAGGCTCCGTGAGCCAACCTTGCTCCTCACGGCCCTGCTGAGCTCCCTCAGGAACAGCACATCCCTTCCCACGAACCGATCCATGGCCTGCAGCAGGACACACGTGCCCACGGCCCACCGGACACCGTGCAGCTCCAGGATGGCCTTTTCCACCTCACAGGAGCCCCCGAAGGATGCTGCCTTCTCCAGGAACACTTTGGTGTTCAGCTGAGCACGGGAAAACTTGGCTTGGACCTGCAGAAAGCTATCCCAAACTTGGGAGGCAGTGGGATTTTCCTTATTACAGGCTGTGCTTGCAATGTCTCCTGCCAGCTGCACTGCTCCTGCTAAAGCCAGCATGGCTTCATCCAAAACCTGCTTCCCTCTTGGAAAGTCACCTGACGAGATAAACCCAAGCACCTGCTGGGACAGACTATTCCAAGAGCCTGCAATGGCTGCCAGGCACTGCTGGGTGTCCTGGATCCTTCCTGAAAGCCTGAGTGCCATGTGGATCAGCCTGCCTGGAGCGCGGAGCTGGCTTGGAGATGTTTCCATGGCCAGGCTGATAATCCTTGGGGTCAGCGCTGCGATGTCCCCGTGCTGTCCCAGCATCTGGAGCTGGGGGGGCCTGGCCACGGGCAGCGCTTCCCGTGCCGCATCCACGCAGCCGTCGGAGAGCTCCAGCAAGGCAGAGCCGGCGGCACCGGCAGTGGCCGCGTCCCGGGCTCGGGATGCTGCCAGGAGAGCCGTGACGGCAGGGTGTGCACCCCCTGCCCACAGCACATCCCGCTGGAAGGGGCCTGGTGGCGAAGATGGAGGACTTGGGATGTCTCCCTGGAGTGCGGCCTCATCCGGACCGGTTTGTATCCCAGTGTGGGATGGGCTGAGCTCCGGCCCCTTGCCCCCTCGGTGCTCCGCACTCGCTGCCGGAGCGGGCTGAGGAGATCCGGGTGGTTGGACCCGTCCAGCCCGGCTTGGACACGGAGAGCAGCGTCCATCAGGCAGCTCGCTGCCTGGGAGAAGGCATCCCGGGATTGGAGGCACTGGGCTGGCACTGCCCTCAGCTGCAGGATGGAATTGGCCAGTTGCTCCACCCACACCAGCAAACCATTCCTGAAGATGGGATCCGTGGCCCTGTCCACGTGCCGGGTGGTGGCTCCGACCACCCAGCGTGCCCAGCCGGTGAGGCGAGCGGCGTGCCAGGAGAATCCCTCGGGATCCCGGCGTGCCAGTGCCGCCTCACACCGCTCCCGGTGCTTGGCCATCTCCAGGACAGACAGCTCCAGGAATTCCCGTGTGCCGACCGTCTCCTCGAAGCAGCGCAGGAGGCTGCTGGTGGCTCCAGCCCAGGCATGGCACAGGGCCTGGAGCTGCTCTGTGCTGTTCCCATTCCTTTCCAGCAGCAGGGAAGGGAGGCTGCCCAGGAGGCTCCGCAGGTGCTCCACCCCCTCCCGGATTTCCCTGGCAGTTTGGGATTTGGTGCACTGGGTCAGAACCATATCAGCCGCCCGGAGCATCTGCTGGGCCTGAGCGAAGAGGGCAGCAATGAGGGGCTGGAGCTTCCTTAAAATTCCTCCTGGTCCTGCTGGAAAACATCCTGAACCAGCAAGAGCGAGGGCACCTTCAACCAACTGCCTCAGGGGCTCCTTCTCCTCGAAGAATCCCTCGAGGATTTGGCACAGAGTGGCTCTGAGCACAGTCCTGTCCAGGTTTTCCAGCTCCTCCCTCATGCTGTGACATTCCTGCTCCAATTCATGTTGTCCCTGGCCCTGTCCTGGACATCCTTCCAACTGGCTCACACGGCTGCAGATGCTCTTGCTCAGCCGTAGCAGGACCCAGCAGCGTTCCACCAGCTCCAGCTGCAGATCCGGCCTGCAGGAGTCTGCCAGCAGCATTCCATGGAGAACGACCACTTCCACGTGGGAACTGAGCCCACCCTCAGAGAGGCGCAGCCGGTCCGGGTGGGAGAGGAGATCCAGCAGCACATTCACCTGCTGGGAGAAGATCCCGCTCCTGTCCTGGGGCTCTGTGAGCAGGGAGAGGAGCTCCCTGATAGTGCCCTCTGTCAGCTGGAAAGCGTCGTCTCCGGAGAGGTCCCTGGGATGTGTGACGGCTCCGTGGAGCAGAGGAACGCACTGGTGGAGGAGCTGCAGGGTGTGGGCCAAGCTCTTCCGTGCAGGACCAGCCCCGAGTTCCTGGAGGTGCTTGGCTGTCAGACAGTTCAGCAGGAGCAGGGCCTCGGAGAAGGCCTGGAATGCTGCCCGGAGCCCCGGCGTGTCCCGGGCATCCCGCAGCGCACACAGGCACTCCTGGAGCCGGCCGGCAGCCCGGGCGATCCGCCTCATCCCTGCGGCCTCTTCCCGCTGAAGGACCTGACCGGGGAACAAGGCACAAAGCCCAGTCAGGAATTCCCATCCCGGTTTATCCTGTGGGGGGGGAGAAGGTGTGGTTTGCTCCACAGATCTGCTGGAGCTTCCCCACCTGGCGTCCCTTCCCACCTTCCCGCTCACCTTGGCTGTCTCCGTGAGGACTCTCCTGGCAGCCACTGCCAGGTGCTCCCGGAGCCCAGGGCTCTCCGGATGCTCCTGGAGCCGGAGCGCTGCCAGCAGCACATCCCTCCCGGCCTGCTCCAGGGATTTGGCCATGGGACACATCTCCGTGGTCCCCTCCTCGCTGGATTCCTGTGCCAGCCTGGAATGGGAGGGATGGGCTCAGCGCTCTGGGAAGCGGCGCAGATGGGAACTGTTATCCCAACCTTTCCCCACACCAGGGCTGCTGAGATCCATGGGATCTGCCTCTGGCCAGGTGCGTGCTGCCTGCCGGGATCTGTGAATTTGGGCTCTGGGTTTGCCAAAGCATTCCTTAAATCCGCAGCACTGTTTGTTCCTTTGGGATGTGTTTATCTTTAAACATGGTTTGCTGAGGTGTTGCTTTGCCGTGTCCCTGCTTTTCCTTCCCAGTTGTATTCCCCATTCCCGATCCCACCTCTTCCTGAGGATGCAGGCTCCCTGCCAGCATTTTCATCTCTTCCCAGCCCCCAAATCCACCCGGGAGACTCCCATGCCCCTGAGCCTCCCACCCAGCTCACCTTCCTGCCACAGCAGTGAGTTCTTCCAGGGCCTTGGCCAGCTTTGCCGCCTTCTCCCCTAAATTGGGAAAGGCCTCACAAATCCCACCTTCCCGTTCCAGGGCCAGGAGCAGATGGCAGAGCTCCACAGCCATGGGGCAGAGGATTCCCTGGATAGCTTTGTTTTCTGCTGGGAGTCCGAGCTCGGAGAGAGGAAAAGGCTCCACGTTGTCCTGCCTGGAAAAGTGAAACAAAACTCGGGATTGTTTGGGTTCGGGTGTGGAATAACTCCCAGTTTTACCAGCGAGCTTGGATGCGGATGGCAGCTCCCGGCTCGGGAAAGGCTCCCGGTTTAGTTTCTCCCAGCCCTAAAACAGCCAGTCACCTGCATTTCCTGGGATCCCGGGGGGTCGCAGGGTGTTCCCGGGGCAGCGGGGCCGGGGGAATCGCGGGCTCTTCCATCCCCAGGGGCTCTTGCCGGTGTTCCCGGCCCGGGACGTTCCCGTGGGAGCGGCCACCGGGACGCGACAGCGTCGCCATGGAGACGGCGTGTCGCTGGGAGTGACGTCATCTCCGCGCGCGGGGCGCGGGGCACGCCGGGAGTTGTAGTCCCGAGGGGCTGCTCAGGGTTATGGAATTCCCTCATCCCAGGGAAGGATCGGGCAGGAGTGTCCCAGTTTCCCCCGCGCAGGGACGTTGCTGATCAGCCCCCTGTGCTCAGGCAACGGGGGCAGGACAGAGGTGCGAGCGAGACCCGTTTTCTGCCCCTTCTCCTGCTTTTTTCCTTTAGGCGGGATATTCCCAGGAAAGGGCAGCCCTCCTCCCTGGATCCTGAGCTTCAGCTGTCCTGCCTCGCGGGTGAGCTAATTCCCTGGAGACCTGGAGAGTGGCACAAACGAAAGCAGCATCGGAGCTGCAGGAAAACACCTCCGGGATCGAGCTGACCCAGATCCGGCAGCGCCGGATCCCGCTCCCACTGCCCGGGAGTTCCGCGCTGAGAGCTCCCGAAGGAATCCACCTTCGGGAACGACTAAAGGAGTCCCAGCTTTCACATCCCCCGCCCCGGGCCGAGCCGGTGTCTCCCACGTGCGGGGCGCAGCCGGGGATCCATCCGGGATCCATCCCGCATCCCGGATCCCGCATCCTGCGCGCGCCCCGCCCCGCGCACGCGCCCGCCGCGCTCCGGGTGCCGCGGAGGAGGAGGAAGAGGAGGAAGAAGAACATCGGGAGCGATGGACAGCGCGGGGAAGGAGCGGGAGGCCGTGCAGCTCATGGCCGAGGCCGAGAAGCGGGTGAAGGGCTCGCACTCCTTCCTCAGGGGACTCTTCGGGTGAGCGCGCCGGGGGAGCCCCGGCTCCTGCATCCCCTCCTTTCCCTGCTCCTGCATCACCCCTTTCCCGGCTCCTGCATCCCCCCCTCTCCTGCTCCTGCATCCCCCCCTCTCCCGGCTCCTGCTTCCCCCCCTCTCCCGGCTCCTGTATCCCTCCTTTCCCTGCTCCTGCATCACCCCTTTTCCTGCTCCTGCATCCCCCCCTCTCCCGACTCCTGTATCCCTCCTTTCCCGGTTCCTGCATCCCCCCTCTCCCTACTCCTGCATCCCCCCCTCTCCCGGTTCCTGCATCCTCCCGGCTCCTGCATCCCCTCCCTCCCAATTCCTGCATCCATCCTTCTCCCGGTTACTGCATTCCCCCAACTCCTGTATCCCCCTCTCCATCTCCTGCCCGCCCCCCGCCATCTCCTTCCCCCCTCTCTAGCTCCTAAACCCCCCCCCTCCAGGTCCAGGATCCCCCCTTTTCCCAGCTCCTGTATCCCTCCTCCCCAGCTTCTGTGTCCCTCCCCTCTGCATCTCCTGCCCCCCCCATCTCCTGTATCCCACTCTCCGCATTTTCTGTCCCCCGTCCCCATCTCCCGCCTCCCATTCCCATCTCCTGTATCCCCCGCCTTTCCCAGATGCTGCCACCCTCTTCCCATCTCCTTTTCCCCTTCCCAGCCCCTGTATCCACCATTCCCTCTGTTCCCATCTCTTGAACCCTCGCCAAGGGATGGACCCCCCCCGCCTTCCCATTTCCTACATCCCCCTCTCTCCCCATCTCCATCCCCTTTTCCCAATCCCTGCCCCCCAGGGTGGGGGTGAGGGTCTCCCTCATCCCAGCTTTACCCCGGGGGGGAATCATCTCCCGGCCACCACGTCACCGGGATTCACCCTGGCGAGGCCGGGCTCTCCCAAAATCCCGGGTGGCACCGGCTCTGCTCCGGCTGCCGCGGCTGGAGAAAATGGCAGGGCTGCCTCTTCCCTGCTCCTGGCGCTATTCCTGGAAGCAGGGTGGTGGTTTTGGCCACCTCGGACTCAGATTTTAAGGAAAGAGCATTCCTGGAGAGGATGCTCCGTGAAGGCCTGGAAGGTTTCTCTCCGTGGGCCTGGAAAAATCGGCTGCAGCAGCCCTGAAACCGCAAGTTTTAAATAGAAATTCCGGCCCGGCCTCCCGGCAGATTAATCAGGCAGGGCCCGCTCCAGGGGCATAATCCGGGCGGCAAATTCCTGAAAATCCTTGGAGCGAACCGGCAGAGATTTCGAGAGAGGGGGAATTTTTAATTTTTCGTGGCTAAAAATAGACGCAGGAAAAATTAAAGAGGAGGGAAAGGTGGTGGGGGGTGACTCGGCCCTTGGCATCTTCCCGGGAAATGGGGTGTCCAGGCCTGCTGGTGTCCTGGAAAACACCTTCTCTGCACCAGGGCTCTTCCTGGAATTGCTCCATTCTCTTTACATAAGTGTTTTTGCTCCTTTATTTTTGTTTTTTGGGGGATTTAAAAGGCTGGGTTTTGGAGGCCTCGCTGGTGTAGCGTTACCTGGTGGTGCCGCCTCCCTTGGCTTTGGCTCATTCCAGAGGCAGCTTTCAAGGGCAAGGAATGATCCAAAAATCCCGCCTGTGCTTTGAAATGAACCGTGGTCGGCTGCCAGAGGGAGGGAGGGAGGGAGGGGAAAAAAAAAAGGCCAGAATTCCAGAGGGATGGAAAAAAAAAAAGGAAATAATCCGTGTTGTGAGCTGGGGCACGGAGGGATTTAAGAACCTTGTGGATTCGGCACTTGGGGACAGGGGTTGGGTGGCTTTGGGATGTTGGACTTGGTATTCTCAGGGGGGTTTTCCCACCTTAAGGATTCTGGGATTGTTCCCTGGGAGCAGAGCCTCCCACCTGGTTCCACCCTCCTGTCAGGCAGTTGTCAGAAGGTCCTCCCCCCTGAGCCTCCTTCTCTCCAGGATTCCAGGAGGAAATCTGCATTTCCTTAACAAAAAGATTGACCTTCTCTGCCTGGCACCTTGGAATTTGGGGACAGGCCCCAAACCCAGGATTCCCCTGCCAGCAGCACATTTTAACGTGGGGGGATGGGCCTCCCTGAGCCCAGAGGGGCCAAATCCCCCATCCCGATTTCAGCTCTGGGGCCGGCGTTCCTTCCTGTCCCGGCCTCAGGGATATTCCCACTGCATTCCAGGGGCAACACCCGCGTGGAGGAGGCCTGTGAGATGTACACCAGGGCTGCCAACATGTTCAAGATCGCCAAAAACTGGAGTGGTGAGTCCAGTCCCTGGGGGAAGGGGGGGTCACTCATCCCGGGATGAGCCGTGAGCACCGAGTGCCTTCCTGGGAGTTATCCCAGGCTGTTCCCATGGGGAATGGGCTCTCTGCAATTCCTCCTGTTTAAATACTGGGAGGGTGGGCATCCTGAGGGGTCTTCAATGAATTTTAAGCCGCTAATCCTGCTGGGAAGCCCATGTTCCTAGAGCCCCCAGGGCCTGGAAGCGGCGTGATCCCGTTCATTCCAGGGGCTCACGGGATCCGTGTCCCTCCTCTCCCAGCGGCAGGGAACGCCTTCTGCCAGGCAGCCAAGCTCCACATGCAGCTGCAGAGCAAGCACGACTCGGCCACCAGCTTCGTGGATGCCGGGAACGCCTACAAGAAAGCGGATCCGCAAGGTAAGGGAGCGGGATCTGGGAGCGGAATCCGGGATTGTTCCCAGCCAGGCGCTCAGTGGCAGCGGAGGAGCGCTCCTGCCTCTCTGGAAGAGGCTTTGGGGTGATGCCAGCAGGTCCTGGCATCTCCTCTTGGCTGTGCCAAAGCTTTGCCGGGATTTGGGATGCCCTGTTGGTTGGGAAGTGCTGCCCCTCGGCAGTTTCCATCCTGGTTTGGCTTGGCTTGAGGGAAGCAGTGGCTTCTTGGAATGCTTCAGGCAGGTGGCTGGGCTGGATCCAAGCGGGATCCCTGCCTTGTCCCTGGGGCTTTCCCTGCTCCTGACCTTTGATGGCATGAGGAGAATAAAGGATCTGGGATTCCTTAAAGCTGGCTGCAAAGAGCAGGGTTGTGCTTTTTGGGAAGGGCTGCGATTCCCCTCTCCCTAGCTCAGGGTGTGGAAGCAAAACCCCCCACCTTCCCCCATCATTATCCCTGTTTTCCTCTGCTGGGGCCGACGGAACAAACTCAGAGCGGGTAAAACCCTCTTATGGCAGAAAACCCCCTGAATTCCCAAGGGAATGGCAGCCCCCAGGATTGGTGCTCCGCTGGAGCGACAAACCCGGGATGCAGCTGGTCTGTGGCTGGCCCATCCCGCTGTTTGAGCGTTCCCCTTGGGAATTGCTGGCTGGCAGAGTGGATGGGGGCGGGCAGGGCCGTGGGTCGGGGGCTGCAGGCAGGAGGTGCAGGCACAGGGGTGCCATGGGGTGCTCCCTGGGCAGGCTGGAGGGCCGTTCCGGCTGGGAATGGGGCCGGGAGGCGTGGGCAGGGCCGGCTGACGCTGTTGTCTCTCCGCACACGCTGCAGAGGCCATCAACTGCTTAAACGCAGCCATCGACATCTACACCGACATGGTAAGGGCCCCCCACACCCTGGCACTGAGCGGGGCCACCGCCGATGATCCCGCCTCACAGCCCCTTCCCTCCCTCTCCCGCCCCTTCCCCTCCCTTCCCCTCCCTTCCCCTCCCTTCCCTAGGGACGCTTCACCATCGCCGCCAAGCACCACATCACCATCGCCGAGATCTACGAGGCCGAGCTGGTCGACATCGAGAAGGTGAGGGCGGTGCTGCTGTCCGTGTAGGGGAGGGGAGGTGGCCCTGGCACAGCCTTCCCTGAGAGTTTGTGGATTCCCCATCCCTGGAAGCGTCCAGGGGTGTCCAGTCCGCCGGGCTGGGCGGAGCTTGGAGCAGCCTGGGATAGTGGAAGGTGTCCCAGCCCAAACCATTCCAGGATTGTATGATCCTTGCCCTGAGCTCAGCACAGCCAATAATTCCCAGCATCTGGCACTGGGATTCCTCAGGTAGGTGCAGTCCAGCCATGCCTTGGAGTCAGTGGTTTTCCCAGCACAGGGCATTTAACCGAGCAATGCCGAGCCTCTCCTGTGCCAGTGCTGCTGCTCCAGTGGGAATCCACATGACTGAAACTGTGTTTGTTGTCGGAAAAATGCTTTGGGAGTGTTGTGGGGCAGTTTTAGAGCTACTTTCTGTCACTTCCAGCTCACAGTGGAGCACTGACTCCCCCACTGCCATTCCCAAGCAACCTGAGCAGGAATCCCACTGGAAATCTCCTGCTGGAAGTTTGCTGGATAAAAATCAGGGGATTTAGGTGTTATTTTCTGGGGAATGATTTGTTTCCTCGGCTCCACTCTGCTGGATCCCATTTATCTCCATGGATGCCAGTGCTGCCTCTCCAGGGCTGTCCCCTGGGGTGACTGGTCCTAGGATGATTGATCCCAGGAATACTGATCCTGGTGTTTCTGTCCCCAGGCCATCGCTCACTACGAACAGGCCGCGGATTATTACAAAGGAGAGGAGTCCAACAGGCAAGTGGTCGGGATCAGTGGGAAGGGCTGGAGCAGGGATCCATCCCGGGCATCCCAGAACCAAGGGGGGCTGTTACAAAGGGAATTCCTCTAAATCCCAGCTGCTGGCTCCCAGTTTTCCCTACGTGGAGGGGCAGAGGTGGTGCTGGGGCGTGGGCTGGTGTATTCCCGGGACACGGGGAGTGATTTCTGGGATGTGGATTTGCAGCTCAGCCAACAAGTGTCTGCTGAAGGTGGCAGCCTACGCAGCGCAGCTGGAGCAGTACCAGAAGGCCATCGAGATCTACGAGCAGGTGAGGATCAGCTGCTCCATCCCATGGGATACAAAACCTGCTCCCAAGGGAAAGCGGCTCAGTGGGCAGGGCTCGCAAAGTTGCCGAGGCCTGGAATCGTGGAATCGTTTGGGTTGGGAAAGCCCTCTGAGATCGGAGTCCAACTGTTCCCCCTGCCCCGTGTCCCCCAGGTGCCACATCCACCATTTTTGCTGTTGTATCCAGCAGAAGGCTGGGAGATGGCTGTAAAAATTCCACTTTGGATGGTATTTACGAGTCCATTCGGCAGCAAATTCCACCCCCCCGCCCCAGATTTATCAACTCTGCCTTTGTGTCGGATATTTCCCCGGGAATACCCACAGTGCTGCCTTCCTGCTTCCAGAGGGTTTATATCGCAGCAGCTTTTTCCCAAATGGACTTGTTTTCCCCTTTCCTCCTCAGCCAGGATACACCCCCCAGCCTGGTGGGATCCGACTTCCCTCGGGATGAGTTAAAACCTCCCTGATTCCCGACAGCCACCGGCGTTTTTCCCGCGTGTTTCATTCGCAGCCGGGTGGAATTTTAATTGGCTGCCCTGGTTTTAATCCAGGCTTCCCTTTCCCAACCCTTTTCTTTTTGTGTCCAGGTGGGGACAAACACGATGGATAACCCTCTGCTCAAGTACAGCGCCAAGGAATATTTCTTCAAAGCCGCCCTTTGCCACTTCATCGTGGACGAGCTGAATGCCAAGGTCAGTTATCCCAGAATTCCTGATCCCCCCCCCTCAGGAAGCTTGGCCGGCTGGGAGACGCTCAGTGGGATCACGGCCCTCATCCCAAAAGCCCCGATCCCTCCTTCTCAGGGATTTGTGTGGCTGTCACATGGGTGGAATCTTGACAGCCCTTGGAATTCTGGTGGATCCTTTCCCAAGTTTGAGGATGGGAAGGCAAATCCCAAAAAACGGGAATTGTGCGTGAAGGGTTCTCTTCTCTCTTCCAGCTCGCACTGGAGAAATACGAAGAAATGTTCCCGGCATTCACAGATTCCCGGGAATGCAAGCTATTGAAAGTGAGTAAACCAGGGTGCTTGTACACTTCTCCATGATTTTTCTCACTTCTCCCAACATTTCAGAGGGCATCAGCCTCGCTGTGCCCTGGGCTGGGCCCTGACCTGTGTGTTTTCCCCGTTCCCTGGGATGAGGTGCTGGAGTGGGAACATGCACTGACAGAGCAGTTCCTCATTTTTCCCCGGTGTTTTCCTAGAAACTGCTGGAAGCCCACGAGGAGCAGAACAGCGAGGCCTACACCGAGGCAGTAAGTGGGCGTGGATTCCCTTGGGAATGGTGGCTCCTTCCTCCTCTTTCTTTTGGGATGTGTGTGCCCTGTTCCAGGCCAGGGAACCTGTGGAGAGGGGCTGGGAGCAGAGCTGCTCCAGCAAGGCCCCAGCTTTCTACTTCAGAATTCCCAGTTTTTTGTGGAGAGTCAAGTACAGATCCCACCTGGGTTTGCTCTGGCTCCTTTGGTGTTTGACAGGGGCTTGGAGAGGCTTTTCCCTGTGCCTTTTCCCTTTTTTTTCCCCTCTTCCCACTTTTGTCCCTCCTCTCCTTTTTTTCCCTCCTTCTCCTTTTTTCTTCCCCTTTCCCCTTTTTTTCCCTCCATTCCCTCCCCATTTTTTCTGCCATTTCCACCCCCCCATATTTTCTCCCCTCTTCCCCCTCTTTATGCTCCCCCTTTTCCCTTTTCCCACTCTTTTTTCCCCTCCTTTTTTTCCTTCTTTTTTTCCACCCCTATATTTTCCCCTTCCTCCCTTTTTCCCCACCCTTTTCCTCCCCCTTTCCCCCCCCCTTTATTTCACCTCCTTATTTCCCTCCCCCTTTCCCTCCCATTTATCTTCCTCTTTTTTCTCCCCCTTTTCCCCCACTTTTCCCGTTTATTCTCATTCTTTCCCTTCCCCTCCTTTCCCACCCACTTTTTTCTCCCCTTTATTCTCCCCTTATTTCCCCCCCTTTTCCCCACTTTTTTCACCCCCTCATCCCTCCCTTTATTCTTCTCCTTTCCTTTTTCCCATGTCGTTTTTCTCCCCTTTATTCTCCCCTTATTTCCCCCCTCTTTTTTCACCCCCTTGTCCCCTCCTTTACTCTCTTCCTTTCCCGTTTTTTTCCCTGCCCTTTTTCCCCTCTTTATTTCACCCTCTTATTTCCCCCCTCTTTCTCCAGCCCTTTTTTGCTACCCTCTTATTTCCTTTTCCTCCCTTTCTCCCCTCCTACTTCCCCCTCTTATCCCCCCCTTATTCCCCTTGCTTTACCCCCCTTTTCCCTCTATTTTCCCCTCTTTTTTTCCACCCAGTTTCTCACCCCTTTATTTTCCCTTCCCTTATTTCCTCCCTTCCCTTTTTCCCCCTCCCTCTTTTCGCCCCCCTTATTTTTCCACTCCTATTTTCCCCGCCTTATTCCCCCCATTCCCACTCCTTTTCCCCCCCTTTTTCCATTCTCCTTATTTCCCGGAAGACCCGGAGCGTGCCGCTGCCATTCCAGCCTCGCTCCCGGGCCGCGTGTCCCTGATCCCGGTTTCCCTCCGCTCCAGGTGAAGGAGTTCGACTCCATCTCCCGGCTGGACCAGTGGCTCACCACGATGCTGCTGCGCATCAAGAAAACCATCCAGGGGGAAGGGGACGGGGACCTCAAGTGACGCCCGCGGGATCCTCCCCGCCCGGCCGAGGACTATTATGGGATACCTGGCCCATTCCCCCCTTCCCGCTTTATCCCGTCGCTTCCCACTCCCAGCGCCCCGTGTGCTCCTTTAGCTCCCGCTCGTCGTGGTGAGGCCGGGCGGCTCCGGCGGATCCGAGGCGGGAGCCGCTTCCTCCTCGGCTCTGGTGCTGCTCCGCACTCGCAGCTCCCGGTTTTCCCGCTGTTCTCCTGATTCCAGCATGTAACACCTTTGGTCCAGGCCAGCACAGCACAAGTAATCGCTTCCGACCCGTTGTGTTGTTCCCATTTTCCGGTTCTCGGTGGCCCTCTGTTGGATACACTTGGATTTGGGGTCCTTTAAGCTTTTTCTTCCCCGGTGCTAGTGAGAGGCTTTGGGATTTGGGAACTCCTACACACCCCCAACATGCTGCCCTAGTGCCGGAGGCATTCCAAGGCTCGGGAACAGGAGCGCCGGGATCGCTGTTGACCCTCACAGAGCCCCAGTTCAGGGTTGGTTTGTATCTCAAATGTCCAGCGTAGGGTGGATGGATTTCCCACTCTATTTTGTGGTGTATCCCGTCCCTCCACCCCCAAAATAACTCCACACGAGTAATAATCTATTTTTCTACCTTTCTCTCCGCGTTCCTTGCTGGAACGTGGGTGCCAGGTGAGCACAGTTTCGCTTTGGAAAGGTGGGAGACGCGTTGAAAAAATTCCTGCTGGAATTTAGAGGTGTGTTTGGAACCACGTGGGGAAGGAGAGAGGATCGAGCTGCCTCTTTTTTTCATGGATATATGGGAGTCTGTGCAATCTGTCTGTTCCAAGAGTGAGGAAGTCATTCATTAAGGGCTGTTGTGGTGGGTCCAGGCAGCCCCAGCCCCTCGTTTCTCTGGAAAAAGGGACAATTTTGGGGGTGGTCTGCACTTTGCTTTGGTAGGAGTTTCGGTACTGGGATAGAGCAGGGCTTGGCTTGGTGGGTGTCACTCCAGGAAGTGGTACTTGGTCTGTGCCACGAGCTTCTGAAAACCAAAAAAAAAACCTGATCCATGCCAAATTATTATTGTTGTGATGTTTCCCTTCCTCCCCTCTCCCTTATCTTCCACAGGCTGTTGTGTAATCCCAAGGGGATGGGAAAGCCCGGGTTTAGGAGGGCGGGGGGTGGGTGCTCTCCCAGCTCAGTGTAGTTAATTTTCTCCCACCCTTAGCAATGGCTTTGTTGTGTCCAGCACTGTCGGAGCCGGGATTAGGGGGAGCCAGGATTAGGGGCCAGGAGGCTCCACTTTTCCCAGTGTTTTTTTTTTTAGGCCTTGTTCCGTTCCCTTTCCCCGTTGTCAGTATTAAGCACAGGGGCTGTAGGACGCAGGTGGAGCAGGAGGGTCTGTTGCTACCACCCCTACACCTGTTAGTTGTGTGTGAGTAGGCTCAGCATGTCCTCCGGTGTATCCATGGTGAACTGTGACGGTTTCCAGGTGACAATCCACCACTACTCTGCTGTATTCCCCCCTTCCCCCTCCACTTCCATCACTCTCTTACTCGGAAAAACTTATTAATGAAATGGCCTTAGCAGGAATATCATGTTTTGTGTGACTCTGTACATGAATAAAGTGAAAATCATGGATGTAAGGAAGGAGAAGTGGTTTTTCTGGAAAGGGCAGAAGGCTGGAGCCTGGTGTGATGATGAGTAGGTGTTGTGTTTCCTTCAATCCCTGCTTGGAATCACAGGATGGGCTGGGTTGGAAGGGACCTGAAAGCCCATCCAGATCCACCCCCTTTCCATTATCCCAGGTTGCTCCAAGCCCTGTCCAACCTGACCTTCAACCCTTCCAGGCAGCCAAAGCTTCCCTGGGGAAACTGCTGGGGTCTCCCCCCCTCACAGGGAGGAATGTCTTCCCAATATCCAACCTAAATTTCCCCTTTTTCAGTTTGAAGCCATTACCTCTTGTCCTGAGTCATTACCTCTAGTCCAGCCCCTCTCCAGCTTCCTTGTAGGCACCTTCGGATCCTGGAAAGCTGCTCTGAGGTTTCCCTGGAACCCTCTCCAGGCTGAAGGTTTCCAGCCTGTCCCTGTCCCAAAGTGTCCCCCCTGATCAGATCATCCAGTCACCAGAAGGGTCTCCATATTCCCATATTTTAATAAGAACAGTTGAACAGTAACTCACTTCCATACATTCCCAGAGTACAAAACTTCCCTGGCTCCAGTTCCAGATGCTCAGGATTTAAATATATCTACAGCCTCTTTCCATCGGTCACCGGGGACAACTGAGCTTCACCAGGAATAAATATTTCAAATATAACCTCTTGGAAACGTTCTCTTTAAAAAAAAAAAAAATTCCCTTTTTTCTATGTTAGAATTCCATGGCAACACCTCCAGCATCCCTTTAGGACCAAAAAAATAGCTCTGTGCCACGGGTGGGGGGTGTTTATTGCTGGACAACAGGCCCTCACCAGGCTGGATTGTGCTTACCTTTCCCAAAGTTCTGCTCACAGCTCCAGCTGAGAAAGTTTCTGTGGGAATACTACAGTAACAGGCAAAGGAACGGGAAAATTTAACTGGAAAAGATGTGGGTTTTTACACAGTGGCATCTGGGAAGCTGATCCCGAGTTTTGAAGCGTTAAACCACAGCAGGGAGCTGCTGCTCCCAAAAAAAGAGTCATCCCCAGTCAGATGACAACTCTCAAAGGCTCCTTCCCCACCACCCAGGGAAAACATCCCAAATCCTATTCCAATAAAATGGAGCGGGAGGTGCTGACCAGGAAAAGCCTCTGAATTGAACCTTTTCCAGAATGGCTGGTTTTCCCAGACATTTTTCCAAGAGATGTTTTGGTCTCTAAGTGCCCAATTCCATGTGAGCTGGAGCAGTTGGAAGGTGGAGACTAGAGTGCCAGACTGCTCCAGTTTTCATGGAATTGTGGAAACACGAACCAGCACTTGGCTCCCACCTGCTATTTAAGAGACTCAAAACTCCTGGAAAGAAACTCCAAAGCTCCCACTCGTATTCCCAAGGAGTGAGCTGGCTCACTGCTGGGGTCTTTGGCAAAAGCAGAGAGAAACCAAGGTTTCCTGAAAAGCAATTTAGCCAGACTTATCTCCTGGATGAATTCCTGCCGGGAAAATGCAGTGAATGACACGGAGAAACACAACCTCGGTTCTCCTGATTGTCCACGTGGCATCAAAATCACCTGGAAAACAAACCTGCACCACCTTCATAACCCACCCAAACATGGTACCTGAGCCACCCTCTCCGCTCCCAGGGAATCAACTTCCAGGGAGGAGCGACTGAAGTGTCACCCTGCCGACCTCCAGGAGATGGAGCTGTGGAATGAATTTTCAGAGGAATCCGGGGAAAATCCACTCCCACCTGCTTCCCACTACCAGCTTCCCTCAGGCAAAGGGCTATACAAGGGGTGCAGCTTAAGGAGTCACAGTGAATCCTGCGTTATTCCATGTTCACCAGAGCGTGGAGCTGCGGCTGGATGGAGTCCTGCTGCGCGTGGAGCACCGTGAGCTCGCTCAGCGCGCTTCCCATCAGGGCTCCCTGCGAGCCCGGCCCTCCGGGTGACTTACAGTCCGTGCCGGCGGTGCCGCCACCCGGGACGGCCGCCAGGCTCTGGTAGGGGCTGCTCTCAGGGAAGGACAGCAGCTTCTCCGGGATTTTGGGGGACACGGCGTACTCCTCGTCGGGAAGCTCCGTCTTGTGACCGTCGTCGCTCTTCGATGCCCCTCCACGATGACAAGGAAGGACTTCCAGGGGGTGTTCTTGTCGTGGATCTGGAAACGAAGAAGCGGGAAAGAGAAGGTTGGACACACAAGATGGCAAGGAAAAAAGTCTGACGGTGGCAGAAAATTGAGTTTTTAGGATCGGGGAACGGTTTGGGGCTCCGTACCGAGGTGTGCCGGCGCAGCGTGGACTTGTCGGTGAAGGTCCTGCCGCAGGCGTTGCACATGAAGGGCTTCTCGCCGGTGTGGATGCGGTGGTGCCGCTGCAGCGCGTTGAGCTGCGTGAACTGCTTCCCGCACTGGTCGCAGCAGTACGGCCGCTCCCCTGCCACACAGCGCCGCCTTAGAGCCCCAGCACCTCCCACAAACACCAAAAACCCTCCCTTCGGGAAAAAAATCCTGCTTTCCTCCTTCCCCGGCCAGGGCAGGAGCTCGGAGCTCAACCAGTGTTCTTGGACGCTGATTACCCCGGCTGGTTATTAACAACACCTCCACAGCCCTTGGAAGTACTCCAGGGAACTGCCAGCGCTCAGGGAGAAGCAGGAGCAGTGCTGGCATCAAGGACAAAGCCAGTGCATGCAGGGTCAGAATTCAAGCCAGAATTCCCCCCCTTGGCTGGGGAATTCCTCGCTGGAATATTGCAGTGGTGCGTGTCAAACATAAGGAGCTCGTCCTACCTGTGTGGACTTTGATGTGCTGGTACAGGGAGTTCCTCTGGGCGAAGGTCCGGAAGCAAACCTCGCACTTGAAGGGTTTGGATCCCGTGTGGATCCGGTTGTGGTGCTTCAGGTATTCCTTAGAGGCAAAGCTCTTCCCACACGTTTCACACATGAAAGGCCTTTCCCCTAAAAAAAAAGGGGGAAAAGGAGAATTAAGCCAACAGCGCTTTGGGAATGCTCTTAAACATCCCAGCCAAAACTGAGGGACCTTACGGAGCGTGTCATCCCTCCAGGATCTGAGGGGACCTTTAAAGGTCACCCAGTCCCAAATCCTGCCATGGGCAGGGATACCTTCCACTTAGCCTCACCACCCTCAGAGGGAGGAATTTCTCCCCAATACCTAATTTAAATAAACCTTCCTTCAGCTTAAAATCACAGGATATCCCAAGGTATCGGCTATTTTTAGTTTTCTCAGCAAAACTACATCCAGAGACGACAGCATCCCATTTGATATAACAAAAAACCAACAACAAAAAAGCATTTTCTGAAAGCAAGCGGTTTCCAGCTTTCCTGGGACGGCTTGTTTGGGTTTTTTTATCCCCTGGTTTCCGAGCCTCCTCCGCCCCGGGTCCCGACGGCTCCTCACCTGTGTGGCAGCGTCTGTGATAGATGAGCATGTGGTTCTGAGTGAACCGGGCCCCACACTCATCACAGACAAAGGGCTTTTCCCCCGTGTGGATTCTGAAAGGAGAAAGGAATGGTCAAACACCAGGCCCGGCTCTTCCTTCCATGGAACAACCTGGGCTGGGGGCGTTCGGGGCTGGTGCAGCGCCGGATCAACGCCCAAAGCCAGGAATTTCAGGGTAAACACGAATGCTTAAAGGTATTTTTTTAAGGTATGACAGCATTTAAGCAGATCAACTCATTTCCTTGGGCTAGGGAAGGGCAGGTGAAGCTCTGGGAACTGATAAAATCAGGTTAAAGCCCCTCAGGGACGATTTTTTCCCCTCGTAAAAATGCCCTGAGACAGATGAAAAGAATGATGAATTCAGGTTCAACCCTCCAGAGATGACTTTTTTCCCCTGATAAAAAAAGTCTCTGACCTAACAGAAATGAAATAATGGATAAAATCTGGTTAAATCTCTCAGAGATAATTTTTTCCCCTCATGAAGGTGCCCTGAGACAGATCAAATCAGGTTCTACCCCCCTAAGAGGTGATTTTTTTCCCCTCATAAAAATGTCTCTGCCATCAAACACATAAATTAAGGGGTAAATTCAGGACCAAGGCCTGCACAGTTGATTTTTGACCTGCTAAAAATGCCTCTTCCCTCAGACAGATAAAACAAGGGATAAAATCAGGTTAAATCCCTCAGAGATTATTTTTGCCCTCATAAAAATGCCCCGAGGCAGATAAAATAAATTATAAAATCAGGTTCAACCCCTCAAGAGACAATTTTTGCCTTGATAAAAACATCTCTTCCCAGAGAGACACAAGAATTGATACAATGAGATTTAACCCTTCAGAGATGACTTTTACCCTCACAAAATCACCCCGAGACAGACAAAATAACTGGTAAAATCAGGCTATAAACCCCTCAGAGAGAAAATCAGGTAAAACCCCTCAGAGAGGATTTTTGCCCTATGATCTGTCACTTGTTTCTATTCCCACCTCATTTTTTCCCGCTCCTTAGCCCCCCAAATCTGGTGTTCTCCCATTTAAAAGCCGGCCAAGCCTTTCCCAAATAATTCCACGCTTCATTATTGTCTTGGCCATAAGGAGGCAGCAAATGAGCCGGAGTAATTCCCGTCCTGATTTATCCCCTGGGAGAAGCTCTCCAGCAGCAGCAGCAGCAGCAGCAGCAGCAGCAGCAGCAGCAGCAGCAGCGCTCGACCTGTGACCTTCTAGTGAGGCAAAGCAGGGGGGAAAAAGGGAAACAGGGACAGGCTCCAGGGGATTGTGCTCATTTCCCCCCCCAGATCTCCCGAGGCCAGGGAAGGCCGTTCGTACCTCATGTGGGTTTTTAGTGCCGAAGGCTGGGAAAACTTAGCCTCACACTCGGGGCACCCATAAGGCTTGTGGCCCGTGTGCGTCCTTTCATGGAGCCTCAGGGCGGTCCTGGAGCTCAGCCCCTTTCCGCACTGCTGGCACTGATGGCGCTCCCCACCACCCTCATGAACCTGGAGAATGTGCCTCTTGACGTCCTTCTTCCTCTTGAACTTCTTACCGCAGAGCTCACAGGGGAAGCGGCGCTCGCTGCTGTGCACGTGCCGCTGGTGGCTCCGCAGGTTGCAGCGGTTGGCAAAGGTCTGCCCGCACGTCTCGCAGCGCAGCACCAGCTCGGCCGCGATGCCGTGGCTGTGCTGGATGTGCTTCAGGAAGCTCTTCTCGTACAGGAACTCCTTCTCGCACGTGCCGCACTTGAAGTTGCTGCCTCGCTTCTTTCTGTCCTCGCCGGCCTTCGGGCGGTTCTCTCCAGGGCGGCCGTCGTCGTGCTCCGTGCCCTCCGGTTGGACGGCGCTCTCCCCCGCTCCTCCTCTCCCTCCGGCTCGCACGGCTCCTCCTCCTCGGGATATCTGTCGTCTCCGGCAGCCACCTCCGCGCTCTTCTGCTGCTCCCTCAGCCTCCTGGTGTACTTCTTCTTCGGGATTTCCACAAACACCTTCCTCCCGGCCAGCCTCCCGCTCGCCCTCCGGATTTTGGCATAAGGAGCCTTCAGCACTTCCTTCTTCTTGTCCACCTTCTCCTTCGATTTGGCAGCCGGTACCTCCGGGGACGCTCCGTGGCCGGGCCTGGCTGCGGGGGAATCCGAGGAATCCCGCTCGGCTTCCGCCACGGCTTTGGGCTCAGGCGGGACGTCTGGGTGGGCAGCGCCTTCCTCCTCGGAGCTCTGCGATTCCGAGAAGTTCTGCAGCTCCAGCAGCACCGACTCCAGCATCTGCTTCTTCAGCTGGAAGCAGGTCTCCGAGAGGTCCAGGCACTTGAGCTTCTCGGCCATCTCCAGCATGCGCTGCACCCTGTCCTCCTCCACCTCCACCCGGGCCGTGTAGACGAACTCCAGGAAGGAGGCGAAATCCGCCACCTGCACCTCGTTGAGGAACACGTTGCTCCGGGGCCCGTCCACGGCCTTCTCGTTGAGGAAAACCTCCTTGAAGAACTTGCTGGTGGCCGCCAGCACGGCCTTGTGGGCCACGAACTCGGCGCGGACGCCCTGGTACTCCACGCTCACCGTCACGTCGCACAGGTGGCCCAGCAGGCGCAGCTGGTGCATCTCGTTCAGCAGGTTGATGGGAGAGGACTTGGATTCCAGCAGGACCGGAGGGCTTTCCATCTTTCTTCCCCCTGCAAGAAGCCATCGATGACAGCCCGCGTTAGCCAGCGGAACTCCCGAGGGTTCCCAGCGGCCGGAAGCCACCGCCAGGGTTTTGGGTGTTCCAGCCAGGTTGGGAAAAGAGCTCTTGGGATTGAGTCCAACCTTGGACTGATCTCCACCACACCACGGAGTAAATTTTAGCCTGAATCCCACCTGTAATTTTACCTGAGACCCCCTTGGGACTATCAGAACCTGGAACAGGGATGGAGCAACAGAGAGGGATCGAGGGCATGTTCTGGTTAAGGTACATGGAGTTAAGGAATGGTTCCTCTCCTCAGCAGGCAATAGAAAATAAAATTAAGCAGAATTCACTGCGATTCTAAAAAGCACTGCCTTAACAGCATTCCCAGATGAAATTCCAAGTGCTTCACCGACCCAGGCATGATGGATAATCACATCCACACACCGAAACCCCGAAAACAAAAGAACTGTGTACCAACCACATTTCTCTGGGTTTGAAGAGGCTCTGAGTGACCTGCTGAGTTTAACCCTTTAATGCCTGCTGGAATCTGGGGAATTCCTTTCCCTTTCCTAGGAATTTAAGAACTACCCACCGAATGCCTAAACAACTAATGTCACCAAAACGTCGCTTTTTTACCCCAATAAAATGATTTTTAACCACTTATCGTGTTATTTCACAACCATTCACCCAATTCCCGTTTGAGCACCGCCCATCTCTGGGAATATGTCCCCTTTCCAGACGGCAAAAAATCCAGCTGGAAAGAGACAAAAAGCTCTGGCCAGGAGCCCCTTAAGGGCAGCAGGGAGAGGATTCCCAGGGAGCTGGGGCAGGCGATGGAGTTATGAGCGCTCCGCTCCTGCTTCCAATCCCTTTCGGGAAGGATTCTGGATCACAAGGGGAAGCTGGGAGCGCATCCCAGCGGAGTGGTGGGGGAAGAAGGGGAGGAAATGAGAGAGAGGGAGAGGAGGCGGGATGAGGGAAGAACAGCGGGGGTTGGAGGGGCAATGAGGGGGGCACGGGGCAGGGATGCCCGCACTCACCGACCGCTCTCCCGCGCAGCGCCGGGCGCGGCCGGAATTGCTGACGCTCCACGGGCCCGCCCGCCCCGAGCGCGGCCGCGGCGCGCGGGAAGTGACGCGCGTGGAACGGGGGGAGCGGAGACGGGCTGGGCGGAACCCACGCCTTTATTGAGTGAAGAGAAACGGGAGATGTACAGCGGCCGCGCCCCGATAAACACACACACACACATATACACACACACAGGCTCTCCCGGCCCCGCCCCTTGCCGAGGGGATGCTCTGAGCTGCATCCGCGCGTCTGGAAAATAAAACGCTTGGGGCAGATCTAAACGTCTCGCCGCAATGAATACCCTCGGGAGGGGTTACACACCCCTCCTCCACCTGGAATCCAGCTGCGGCGCTGGGGATAACTCCCCCCCCCCCGTTCTGAGGGATGATTTTCCCCCATTCCGCGTATTTCTGGGGCCAGAACTGACCTTACAAGTACAAGAGGGAGCGGTCGGTGCCCCCGGTGTCCCCAGCACCAGGGGCCGCCCGCGCTGCTGTTTTGGCACCTTCTGGTTTGTAAAGTTTCCCCTGGTCCACCGACCAACCCTCCGGGGCGGAGCCTCCTCCCGCATGGGCTTCCCCAAATGTCTCTATTTTGGACCAGTTATGGTCCTTTTTGGGGGTGAGATCGATCAGGAAACTTCGCCAGTGAGCATTCCGATCGTGAATCTGGGGAAAAAGATAAAAAAAAAAAAAAAAAGGGAGGGGGACAGGAGAACAATTACATCTGATTTTTAACTAAAATCACTTCAAATATGTAAAACCGCATTCCTGGGGTCGTATAAGCCATCGTGTTACGGGGATTAAAAGGCTGGGGACTCTGTAGTTAAATTCATAATAGGCACCCAGAATCCCGAGTCCTTCCTCGAATTTTTTAGGCTGGAAGAGACCTCCGAAATCACGGAGTCCAAGCTCTGACCGATGACTAAATGCCATGTGTGGCCATTCCCCGAACGCCTCCCGGGATGCTGCCTCTTCTCCCAAAGCCGGGAGACGCCTGGGTTCTGCAGCCAGCAGTGGGAGCTGCTGTGCCGTCGCCGGAGGAAAATTCCACGCTCCCGGAGGCCGGGAAGGCGCGGCCGCAGTTGATATCCCCATCCCACCCCACGAGGTGACCCCGAGGGCCGGGAGGATGCCGAGGGATGCCGTACCGCCACGTGTCTGCGCAGCGTGGACATGTCGGTGAAGGTCCTCTCGCAGGCCCGGCACTTGTAGGGCTTCTCCCCGGTGTGGATGCGCTGATGCCGCCGCAGGGCGCCCTGCTGCGTGAAGGTCTTCCCGCACTGCTCGCAGAAATAGGGGCGGGTCTCTGGGAACAACCAATCCCGGGGGACACGGCGTTAGGAGAGGGGCTCTTTGGCCCCCATCAGAAAAAAAAAAAAAAAAAAAAAAGGATTTTAAAGTATCGATAAAGGGGGTGTGGCTGTCCCATCCCTGGCAGTGCTCCAGGCCAGGTTGGATGGGCAACCTGGGATATGGAAGGTGTCCCATCTTTAAAGTCCCTCACAGCCCAAGCCAGTCTGGGATTTTTTGCTTCCATGATAAATATTTCTCCGCTGCCAAGAAACCCTAAAATCAGCTCTCTGATCCTGCAGGGAGAACTTACAGCCTTTCTCTACTCCTGGCACAAACCAGGCCTCAGTTTTCTTGGGAAAACACCACTGATATGACACAAGGTGTTCCTGTGCTCCGTTTAACGAGCCAGGATGGGGATGAGCCCTGCTTCCAGCACCACGGAGTCCCCATCCCTGGAGGTGTTCAGGGAATGCCTGGATGGGGCACTCAGTGCTCTGGTCTAGTGACAAGGCAGTGCTCACTCACAGGTTTGACTCGATGGTCCTGGAGGTCTCTTCCACCCTCTGTGATCACCTAATTCAAGGAGCTGTGGAATGAAATGCCCCCATCCAAACCAGGAGCCACGGATTTGTTTTCCCAGCGCCAAGGGGCGGTTCCATTACCTGCGTGGACGTTGCTGTGCTGGGCCAGGGAGGCCCTGAGGCCGAAGGCTTTCCCACACACCTCACACTTGTAGGGCTTGGCGCCCAAGTGGCAGCGCTTGTGGCACTTCAGGTACTCCTTGGTGGCAAAGTGCTTCCCACACACGTCACACTTGAACAGGCGCTCTCCTGGGGGAAGAGGAACGGGATTCTCGCGCAGGAGTTTTGTACTCTAAAGGCTGGTCTTCAAAGCACAGAATCACTGAGGTTGGAAAAGCCCTCCAGGATCATCGAGTCCCCCCACCCTGTGCCTGATCCCCACCTTGTCACCCAGCCCAGAGCACTGAGTGCCATGCCCAGCGGCTCCCCCCTCCTGTCAGGGAGTTGTGGAGAGCAAAAAAGTCCTCCCCAAGCCTCCTTTTCTCCAGGCTAAAAGAGCTTCTATCCCTACTGATTCCTTCCTGCTACTTGGAGTCTACTCTGTGAGTTACAAAAAAGCAAAGGGCACTTTGCCCACACCCCAACAAGCAATTCCTAGCAGTGAAAAGGGAAAACTACAGGAGGGACCACGTGGAGTATTGAATGCCCACCTGTGTGTGTCCTTTTGTGGCCGGTGAGTTTTCCTTTGTCGGCAAAGGAAGCCCCGCAGTCCTCACAAATATACGGCTTCTCCCCCGTGTGGGACCTGAAGGAGGCAGAACACAGATGATTATTGATAAATCAGGTCTTGAGCCTGTGGGCCTTCCCAGTACCTCGTGTCCTGCAGACCTCACCTGGCATGATATCCCCTTATTTAGGACATGAGATTTGGTCTTTACACTGTGCTGACTTCCCTTATTCCAACCCAAACAGGAAATCCAAGCAAAATCATTCCTAATTTTGAGTTGTCAAGCAAGAGGCTTATAATTCATCTGCTATGCAATCTTTTCAGGCAAAGATGGGAAATTTTCCATGGGATGATTCACCCTCTCCTGGGAGAGGACACATCTGACACAGACACCACCAGAGGGCAACTCATCCTGTCAAACTCATGAGTGCAGCAGGAGCCCTGAGGAGCAGCACAGATTTTGTGCTGCATAAAGTCCCACACTAATTCCTCACTCTGAGATGGTCTCAGAGGTCCCTGACTCACTCTTCAGTCTACACTACTCTCGATCAGTGAATCCCATGGGATTTCAGAGCCGGCTCCAAATGACTGGCTCCTGCCTGCAAGTTTGGACGGGGCATCCGTGTTGAAATCCCGACCACGGGCAACGCAACAACCCCCGGAAGCGAAGCCTTTGCGTAAAAGGATTAATCACTGATCCTACAATCCAAGTGATATCCCGGTGTTCCCGCTCTAAGGAGAGCGACTCACAGCTGGGAAGCCAGGAGAGGAAAAAGGTGCTGACAGGACCCTGTGCATGCAGGGAGGGGGAAGGGGAGACCGGAGGCTGACCTGGTGTGGATCTTCAGCTGGGAGGGCTGTGCAAACCTGGCGTGGCAGATGCTGCACTCGTAGGGCTTCTCCCCGGTGTGCGTCCGCATGTGGAACACCAGCGCCGTGCGGGAGCTGAGGATCTTCCCGCACACGGAGCAGAGGGGCCGCTTGGCGCGGCCCTCGTGCTTCCGCACGGAGTGGGTCCGCACGTCCCGCTGCCGCTTGAAGGTGGCGCTGCACAGGGGGCAGGAGAAGCGCCGCTCCTCCGTGTGCACGCACGCCCGGTGCTCCTTCCAGCTGGTGTAGCTGGCGAAGCGCTTGCCGCACACGTCGCACCGGTACACCTTGCCGGGCAGGCACTGGTGCGCGTCCCGGCAGTGATCCACGTACCTCTTGCGGGACACGAACTGCTCGTGGCACTTGTCACACCGGATCACGTAGCGGGGGTTCTTGCTGGCCCCGCTTTTACTGGCCTTCTGTAGTTGGGACTCCTCGTCTGATTCGTGTTCTTCGCCGTCCTTCTCGTGTGGGTGTTGGCCACCCTCCTCGGGATGCACCTCTTTGGCTGCACCTCCTTCAACTTCCGAGTATCCCACCTCGTAATCTCCCTCCTCCTCGCCCTTCACGCTCATCTCACCTTCATCTTCATTCCCTTCTTCGCTCCTTGCTTCAGCTTCCTTGTGTTTCCCATCCTGTTCCTCTTGCTCTGTGCTCCGTTCTGTTTCAGCAGTGGGTGAACCCCCGGGTTCCTCCTCACTCCTCGTGGCCTCAGATGTCCCATCCCAAGGCTCTCTGTCGGGATCTTTGTCACAGCTTGCGGCGTTTGGTCCAGCTGCAGGTGGAACCACCATCCAATAGACAGGCAGGAGTTTCCTCTCTTGCCCAGACTCGTGGATTTTCCTGTTAAAATAAACAAACAGAGCGCAACTTCAATGTGTTTAAACGAGACTCAATTAAAATTAATTGTTTAATTGTTTCAATTCAGACATGTTGGCTCTGGGGGAAGAGTCATTTCCTCTGAATCGCTCTTTGCACCATTTAAGAAATTCACAGGGTATTTGGAAAGCCCAAAAATAGGGAAACTTTGGGTAGAGTTGGACCAGGTTATTAAAGGCAATTAAGATGTCTCAGTTCATCAAGAATCTATATTTGTCACCTGACTGGGAACGTAGGATGGACTGTAAATTTTCCTTCAACGGAATGGTCGATGGGATAAGAAATTACAGACTTAAACCAAGGGAAATAAAGATTAAATGCCAATATGGAGACACAAAATTCTTATTGAAAACCCAAGTCTGAGGCTTCCTGGGTCTGGTTGCACAAGTCCCCTTTAATTCAACGGGAAATTCCCTGAATTCCCCGTCTGGGAGACCTCAACCCAGTCATCTGCACTGCAAGCTCAGTGAAGCTAACTGAAAAAACCAGTCCCAGTTTCAACACACTCCATGTCAGATCCAAGGAATTCCGGACCTGGAGCAGGGAGGGCTTTGGCAATGCCTTTATCCCCGTACATTCCCGAGGGTGCTGTACCTGAGGTGGGTGCTGTAGGCAGACCTGTGGGCAAAGCTGGCGGGGCAGCGCTCGCACTTGTAGGGCCTCTCCCCGCCGTGCGCCCGGACGTGGCCGGAGAGGCCGCGCTTGGAGCCTCCCGCCTTGTCGCAGCAGGGGCAGGCCCGGCGTTCCCGCTTCCCGTCGGGCGCCCTGCGGACGCGCTGGGCCGCGTCCCTGCGGGGTGCCAGCCTGGCGCGGCGGGAGGAGCCGCGCTCGTGGCCGTGGGCGCGCGGGCGGTGCTGCCGCAGGTTCCGCGGGGCTGGGGATCGCTGCCCGCACCCCTCGCAGCGGGGCCTGAGGGCCAGGCCGGCGTCGTGCTGGAGCTCCACACGCTCCCGGTACCGCTCCGGGACGCGGAAGGGTTCATCGCGCTTCCCGCGCGCCACCGGCGCGGGGATTTTCACCGCGGGCCGCGGTGATTTCCTGCGTCCTGTCTCAGTGGGAAACTGGGAAATTAAACTCTTTCCATCTTCCCACTGCTCAGGCAGAGCGCTCCTAATCACGACACAGGCTCCCTGTGCCTCAGGCTGACTTAGGAGGGAGTGACTATCCTCGTCTTCCAGACTAACGATGTCCACACCGAGGGTGTTTGTGGAATCTGGCTCGCTACATTTCAGCAGCCTTGCTGTCCTGGGCTTTGGGTCTGGAAAAGCAGTGTCCTCTTGCTCCAGACCTGCTGCTTGGCCTCCAATGAGCTCATAGCCCGCCAGCAACTTCTTATGTTTCTGCCTGTCCCAAAGTTTCCTCTGCACAGGGATTGCCACGACCTGGGAAGAGTTCCTCGGGCTGGGGTTCTCCTCGTGCTGGATGTGAGGCCACTGGGACCCACCACTTTCACCGCTCTGTCCCTTCAGGTGGAGGCTCAAATCCAAGCCCTTCCTGCCCTCTGCTTTCACTTCTTCACAGATGTCGAGCAAATCCTTGCATTCCAGTCTCTCGGCTATCTCCTTCATCCGCTGGAGCTTTTCCGCTTCGATCTCCACTTCCGCCGTGTACACAAACTCCAGGAAGGAGGTGAACTCCTCTGTGTAGATGTCCTGCAGGGTCACCGTGCAGGTCTTGGTGTCCAGCATCTCCTCGTGCAGGAAGAGCCCCTTGAAATAGTTGCTGGAAGCTGCCAGGACGGCTTTGTGAACCAGGAACTCCTCCCGAATTCCCAGGTGCTGGGTGTGAACCGTCACGTCACACAGGTGCCCGAACTGGTACAGGGAGTGCAGGGCCCTCAGGAGGTTGGGAGCAGCGACCTTGGACTTCATCAGGATTTTCTTCTTCTCCATCCTGCCAGAAGAAACAGGCAAATGTTTGAATGGGCCCCCGCTTTCCCAGTTTTCCATTCCAGTATGACATCAGAAAGCCCAGTAGAATTCCATACTCTAATTCCTCCTTGCGAGACGCGGTGAAAACCTTGAGGTTATCCCTGTCAACACAACCACCATCAGCAAATGCATTTGGCTTATTTATGGAAAAATTATATGGAAAAGACCTCCAGGATCACTGAGTCCAACCTTTGATGGATCACCACCGTGGCAACAAAACCATCCCCCAGAAGCTGCAAATTGAGGGGACAGGGGCAAAACAAAATTGTCTAAATTCTACTGGAAAAGGACTCCTCACATCCAGACTCAGACCGTGTCATTCCCACAGCCAGCAGGGATCTTTGCAACACTCCCAACTACTCCCCACGTGGAGACACAACCCCCTCCCTAGCTCCTCCGACACTCTTGGAAGCTGCAGAAAGAAGTGCAGGTCCGGAGGTTCGGCCCACAAATCCACAAAAGCTCCCACTTAATCTGCTCCCTTAATGTTTTCCAACAGGATATCCTTGGTTTCTGTGCTGACCCCGGGGCTGTGGAGCTTAAAGAAATCAATGAGCACAGCACGTGCTAATTTCCTGCTGCTCCTCTGTAAGATCCCCATCCATGATAAGATCCCGATCCGCGCTCCCACCGGAGCTCTGCTAACACCAGGATCTGATACAAAGCCAGATGGGAGAGATACATTCCAAGATCATCTCTTAGTTCATCTGGTTCTGGATTAAACCACCCCAGACACTGTTGGCTGAAGTGTCTTTCCAATGAAAAATCCCACAAATTAATCCATTCCCACCATTTTTCCCTTCATAAAAAAAAAAATGAGGCTTAGGGGTTTAGTTCCCAATTTGGGAACTGATCTTCAGTTTCCCAAAGGGCTGCTGAGTCTCTGTGTCTCCAAAACACTCACTTCAAGAATTTAAATGACAACAATATTTTTCCACATATTTTATGGATTTGTTTGTAACTTCTTTCCAGCCTGGCAATAAGCAAATAAATACTTTAAAGAATGTGCATGTGTGCAAGATTTGCAGAAAACATATTTCTTCCAACAGATTAATTGCAAAAGCACTTTAATTTTGCCAGAACTGATGCAAAACTCAAACCATATTTCAATTCAATTACAACTCCTGATAAGGAACTGGAATAAGTGCAACTGGAATTGGTACAAGTGGAATTAGTGCAACTGTTTTGAAAAATAAAGCCCAACAGTGGCTCCCAATGTCCAAGAAGATATTTATATTTATATATATATAATCTAAATATTTATATTTATATATTTATATTTTTGTAATATAAATATTCCCAAAATAAATTCCCATTATCCACATAAATCCACCCTGCTTTTCCTTCAAATCTTTCCAATTACATCTTAAGTTTCTCTTTAGAGAGGGGATGAGGAAGTTTTTCCTTAATTTATTATCTTTCCAGGAAGGATTCCTTTAAACTCTCAGTACCTGCATGTGCACAAACAATAAAGGGCTCCAACAGGGATCAAAATGAGAATCCCTGGAATATTGACAGGGTAAACAACCAGAAGAGCCTTAAAGATGGATTGTAATAATAAAAATATATTTATAGCAGTGAGACAACAAGGTAACAGGTAAGAAACAGTATCACCAGGAGATAAATAAAAGCCGGAGCTGCTCCACTATGTTAATCCCCTGGAAAATTCCTCACAGGAATTCCCACAGGATGCAGGTACATAAAGTTAGGTAGGTCAGGACACTGAGCAAATAGTAACAGGTTTCCAACCTGTTTGGGGATTTCTGGATAAGCCGAGGAACATCCAGAGCAGCTGCACTTATGTTCCATTTGTGCCCCACAAAAATCTCCATTTATCTTATTGAGAATTTCCATTTACCCTCCGGAGCATCCCCATTCACCCTCCAGAAAAACCTCCAGTTATTTATCCCCCAGAAAAATCTCCATTTATCCTCCAGAACAGTATCTCCCATCCATCCCGCAGCACACTGCTGGCCAAATTCCTCCAAAAGTCTTAAACTTTTTTTGTTTGTTTGTTTTAAGACACGCAGCCCTTCAATTACCTTCGCTCCCCCTTGGAAAGGCTCCTCCCACGAGGAAATCCAGGCCGCGCCCGCTTCCCGGCTGGAATGGGACCCAGGCTCAGCATCCCACGGGAGGGATCCCGCGCCGCGCTGCTCCCCGTGCCGCCGGCACAGCTGGGCTCATCTTCTGCGCTTTCATTTATTAAGTGAAAACGGCAGATTTCTATGAGTGCGTGAAATCCTGCAAGGAAACCGGAGAGCGGGAATGTTTATGCCAGCGCCGGGCACCGGCGGGAGCCGCCTCAGGGCGCGGGGGCACGAAGGGAGGCGGCGGGGGCACCTGCCACCTGCACGGGGCACAGCCCCCCGCCGGGCCCTGAGGCGGCGAGGCCCGGGGGTCTCCCTCCCGCCGGGCAGGAGGAGCCGGGATCGCTCCCGGGGGTGCATCCCGGGGGTCCCTCACCCGCCGCCACCGCCGCCCTGCCCGCCCGCAGCCAACATGGCCGCCGCCGCCTTATGGCCCCGGCCCCGCCGCCATCTTGGGTGAGGGCAGGGCGGGTCCGGCAGAGCCGGGGGGGAAAAAACCCACCCCGGACCCGCAAAAAAAACCGCACCCCCAGTCAACACAAATAAAATGAAATAAAATAAAAATTAGTTTTCGCGCTTTCCGAGCGCCGCGTCTGGGTGTTGGGTCAGTTTCAATGGCCCCGGGCGTGTGTGTGTGTTCCTCGTGTGAATTACTCGCAGTGCAGTGGGGCTGTGCGAGCCGCGTCCAGCTCTCTGCCGTGTCCCGGTGTGGGTACCGGAACATCCCCTCTGCACGCTGGGAGATAAAACCCTGGCCGCGTTAAGAGAGATGTTCATACAAACCAGCTCTGAACTCTGATGGGGTAAATCCGGCCTTAGGAGAAGCACGAACTGCTATTTCCCACTGGTGATCCCACATCCCTGCTTTTTATCACATAAAATCATTTTAAACGGCCGACGTATGGGACAAATCTGTACTTCAACACACCAGTCTTGTTTCCAAGATAAATTCCTCCTTTGGTGCATTTTTTTTTTTCCCCCCCCTAACCTAAGTGCAGATTTAATCTTAAAATTTTAATGGCTTGTAAAAAATGTTGAATGATTGTAATTCCTTGAGGAAATGTAAAAGAAATTCCTTCATAAAAATAAATCAGGAAGGGGCTGACATCTATGCTGTTTACCTTTTTTTTTTTTTTTCCCCACTTCTATCACACAGATTTGAGCCTTGACCCTGTAATTATCAGGCTTTTGGCCTGATATTAGAAACTGTTTGTGCATTTCTCTGAAAACAAGACTACTATAGGAAAGACAGAATAAAAATATTGCAAATCAAAATATTTTAGATGGAAATAACTTATGCCAACTCAATTTGCTTGGACTGTGAGAGCCTGAGAGGTAAATCCAGCCTGATGGATCACTCCCACGGAGGAGGGAATGTTTCCACCCTGAATTTGGTTTTCAACCCTGATTATTTTGTTTGTAGTCGGGGAATGTTTCTATTGTCGAGACATGGCTCTCGGAGCAGGGAGAACGAGCAGCAATATGAGTGATCCGCGCTGAAATGTCAGGATAATATTCCTGTATCTCAGCGCGAGGGAATGGTGTTTGCTTTTACTTTATCAGAAACCTGGTCTGCTCAACAGCTCTCACCCAGAGGAGTTGGGAGGGAAGATGAAGTGAAGGCTGCCGGCCAATTTAGTCCTGCTTTCGCAAGGATTGAGTGAATTGCTGGAGAAGTTGGCAGCGCCGGGTCGTGTCCGCGTGTCAATCTTTGCCGAGCGGCCCAGAAGGGGTTCTGGAATTGCTGCGTGGCTCCAGGCTGGCTTTCACGCTGCCCTCGTCCACCAGTCTTTGTTTCTCAGGAGATTCACTTGATTCTCCAAATGTTCCGTCCTCTCTCATGCACTTCAGGAGCTTCCTAGAACAGGAGGAGGTCTCCACACTCCCCACATCTCCCTTGAGCATCCCGGTTGCTGTGTGGGAAGAGGGAGAAAGGGTGTCATAGTTGCTCTCTCTAGGTCATTAATGCTTCTTTGGAGTTACAACAGGAGGGATGAAAATGGGTGGGAGGAAGCCAAGAGGTGTCTGAACCCTCTCACTCTGAGGAAGACACCGAACCCGGGTGCCCTGTGGTGGGTCAAACATTCCAGGCACAGGGATGTCGTAATGAAGCAACTTGTTTTGCCCCTTAAGCCAAAACACAACAAAATCCAGGAAAGAATCACAGGCTGAGAACTCAGATTTTATCTGAGCATTTCCTTTGGTTGGGAGTGAAGAAATACCCCTGGCTCTGATGGTGGTGACTAAGAGCAGGAGGTGGAGGGAAGCTTTCCCTACACAGCATCACCTGCTTGGCATCGGGGCACTGGTGACTTTGAGCCAGACTGGTGTATGTCTTTGGAGACCCCAAATGAGAAACCTCATTGTGCCTCTTCCATGGATGGCTCTCCCTTCCTTACAGCTCCACCAGAGGATGCTGCAGACTTTGGAAAGAGCAGCCTGGAGTGCAGCCCTGCTCATCCCTTCCAGCATTCAGAGGTCCGTGTCCAGTGGCTCGCTGGCACAACCTGGACCTCTTTACATGCACTAGGAAATGCATGGAATCAACCTGAGTTAAGCAGTTAAGGATCCTGGAGTGAGGATATCCTGGGGAGGATAGAAAGAGGCTGGTACAAGTAGCTTCCCTTGGTGGACAATTCCTATCTCTTGCTGCTCAGCTGATCTTTGCATCGGGAAGAATCCCACCATGGAAGTGCAGGGAGGGCTTCAAAAAGCCTTTTCCCGAAGCTCTCCTGGGTGGGAGCCAAGCCAGCACTCAGCAAACCTCTGGGTTGTCCCCCAAACAGAGACAGAGCTTTCAGCATAGTCTAAAAATGCAAATTCCAGACGAACTCCTGATGGAAAGCAAACAGCAGGCCCTTGCTCCGTGTG